AGTTGGAGAAACAGCTTTGCGAATTATGCGGTCCGAGTACCCATTCATCTTGAGGGCCTGGTGTACGTGTTCCAGTTCACTGACGAGGTGGCGCATAGGTTTTTCCGGCCTTGCCTGGTCTGACCTGAGAGGGGATACCACTTTGACGATACAAATTACTCAGTGGTGGCCCTTCTGCATGCATCCATAATGCCTAAAGTTGGCTCAATGCTCCACGTACACATCCCCCAATAACCATTTACACCCGAGGTGATGCGGCCTTCCCATGGTTGAGGTAGATGCCTCGCTGGCGGCAGGGAGGGTTTTCTCAAATGAGAGTCTCCCGTTCGGGGCGAGACCTCTCATAGAGTTAGCTACTTGCCTAACAACAACGAAGTGGCGGTGACATCACCACGGCGCTTGTGCCAGGCTATGTGCACTTTGAGGCCACGTGAAGTGTCGAACGCCCGCTGGCAGCAAGTGACGGGGCAGACCCAGGTGCCACGGGTGCCAACTTGCTGTGCTTTAGCCACCCTGTGCGCCATTCATTGTTGTGTCGCTCCTCCGCCCTCTGTTGTCGTTGGAGGGCAACTGCCTCCAAATGCCTAGCAGCATTCTTCACGAGCCTACTCCACAGAGGCCGATCTTGACACCGATGATACCAGTCACCGACAAGTCCACTCAGCTCCATATCCTCCTGTACCACATAACTCCATCTCTTCTCGCATTTACGTCCCTTTATCCGGCCGAACAAAAGTTAAGGCATATGGTGGCTGGGCATGTGGGCTACATGACCCAGCCAACGGAGCCTTGCCTGCATAATAACAGTCACTTGCACACCCACAACGCACCACGAACAAAATGAAGATCAAGATGACACAGATTGTGTAACATTTAATCTCTCACCTTGGGTTTGGCTGGGCATAAATTAAGTTTCTGGGGTGGCTCTACCTGGTGTGCATGGCGCAGTGGCACAAAACCCCATAAAGTTCGTCCACACTTTCCAGCGCGTCCTCCTCCAAACTATCCCACTCATGCCCCGTTCCTCCTCTTCTTGGTTTACGCCCGCTTCGAGCCCTAGCTCCCTGATTCACTTCCGATGGGGAGGGGTTGTGCGGCAATCACCAGCGTCAATCACGTGACTGCGACTCTCCTGTTCCACCCCTCCCCACCTCCCTTAACTGTGGCCATTTCCATACTTCTGCTGAGGACCGCCACATTTTCGATCAACATTGAACCTTGTATATTAGGAAAACACATGTAAGGCCTCCAGCTCAGAGTAACTTGGCCTATAAATCTGTGTGGGGGATGGCGGTACTAGCATTAATAGAGAGACCGACCCATAAACTACGTCTACCACATTCCGCTTGTCTCGTTGTCGCCAACACAGGGACCCCTAGCCCGAGGTTTCTTTGTTTTCGGTTATATCATGTGTGGCTGCCATAGCAACTATGGGTAATGTGCTTATGTTAATGTGCTACCGCTGCACCCATTGAGGTGCTTGCCCCGCCCACATCAGCAAATAATATGCAGGATTCTGCGTAAGGTTCCACAACCCTAACCCTAAAAAACATATACGCGTTATCAGTGTAAATTTTCAAGCATTTCTGGCCGTTTGTCGTCCGAGAATTTCATGCAATTGTGGAGAGGGGTATCTGTTTTTACATACCCTTCACTCAGACCGTCGAAATCTGTCTAGAAATGCCCGTCAAATTACCGACCATTCACGTGTTTTTCCCGTCATGAATGGGAAAATAATACATATAGAGTGTTTCTCGGAAATAACAAATCTTACTGTTTATGGTATTGATCTCAGCAACGATTTTCAGCCAGCTTGGGACGTCGCTGCAATAGTACGTTGCTTAAAAATCCGTGATGAAAGAAAGATTTGGTCTCGGAGTTTCGTTTATCAATTTTTACCAGCGCTGGACGTTTTGTGTGTTGTCCTCTGGTGGATATTTTCAGTAGCACGAGGTATTCAATACGTGGTTACAATGTATTCAATACCTGGTTCCGTCTGCCATCTGGTGGAAGTGTGCATTATTGACCAGCACAAGACGCCAGTCACGTTATATCACTTTCACGGGAAGGCCAATAACATGATGAGGTTTTTCTTAATTAGAATATTTTCAGAGGTCACTCACAACAGCCCCACCTAGTGAAAATGTCATGAGCCGCCACTGCTCTGGACCCACCGAGGACCCCCCCGCAAAGACAACACACAGTGCCACAGCTGGCCTTTTGCACTGTTATCGTGTTTTTGTATTGTTTATTGTTGTAAAACGTTCTAACCCGCCCATACTAGACATCTGTGAAAAAGGGCTTTAAAGCAAATCGGATCCCTCCAGTATAAATAAACTCGGGGTGGCACTGTAGTGTACCGCGTGGTAGCCACACGTTAGCGCATCAACACAGGGTTTAACATTCCTCGGTGGCACCGCGTTCACTGATACGGTGTCGATGCCCGGGCGCATCTCATTACCCCGAACTACCGACCCGACTTCAGCACGCACATATTAACAGCGTAATTGTTGGTTAGGTTATTTAGCGGGCGTCCATTTTAGTAAACTTATTTAGGGGGCATCCATGCTGGTTAAGTTATTTAGCTGTCATCCATTTTGGTTAGGTTATTCAGTGGGCGTCCATTTTGGTCATAGGACGAGGCCATGCACGGGAAGGAAGGTCGTCCCCGAAATATTGCCTGTACGTGATGTGTTTTTTAAGGGTCATGGATATTGACGAATGTGTGGAGTTTTATCTTGACGGTAACTGGGTTCGTGTACCGCTTCCAAGGTAGCTTCACCAAATAAAATCTGCAACCATAGATTTGTCCACGAGAGGGCATCGTGTGTCCGTGCATTGCAGTGATTAATTAACAGCATGGCCAGGTTCGAGCCAATGCGTTACGGAGTACTGCTGAACTAGGTCCCATATTTAAAAGTGAAATCAATTTCAAGGACAATGCATACATTATCAGAGTTGTGTTTTTTGTTTGCATTCCGACCGCAGGTATTGTGGTTAATGCAAACATGACTCCTTGTAAAAAAAGGTGTCAGTTTTGTCGCCAGATAAAAGGGTTAAAAACCAATGATCATATTTTGCTACTGGCAAAGGAGGTTCCAATGGTGTAAATGCTCAACCGAGCTCTCATACTCTGATGGTACATTGTTTTTGAGTTGTGTGCCTTTTGGCGTCATCTAGTCCTACACCATGTGAGACTAGGCTCTAAGAAAAGCTGTCTCGGGTGTGGACGAAGTCAATTTCAAGGACAGTGCATACATTATCAAAGTTGTGTTTTTTTGTTTGCATTCCGACCACAGGTATTGTTGTCAATGCAAACATGACTCCTTGTAAAATAGGTGTCAGTTTTGTTGCCAGATAAAAGGGTAAAAACCCAATTATCAATTAATCCGATATACACCTTCCATTGATAATTTAGGTAATTCGTCTTTAGTGCAAGATACTAGTTTTTTTATTGTGTACTGTACCAAGGTTTTTTTTTAAATTACCTTTTATGGCTACTTCATTGCCTGGTGACGAGTGTGAAAGGCAGCTGCTGTTTGAAGGGAGGGGGTTCGCATCACCCCCTTTGTGCCCCAAGCGTCACCGTCATTAATAATTAGTAAAAAATATTGGCAGATTTATTATTCTTAATATAATTTTTTGGAAAAGGTTGGAGAGTGCGCGTGAGTGATTAAGGTGGGGGTCGGGGTGTGCTAAGTCCACTCGCTGCCGTTTGCGCGCAGAGTACCATCTCTGCGGCCGCGACGGTTTGCGAGTGATGTGGGCGTGAGGCGCGTCTTTGCACAAAATAGCCTCAACGGCGAGAAGTGCACCCAGGGTCCTGCCGCAGGTCATCTACTTTTTCGCGTAGCATTACCATCTGTTTGCACAGCGGATTAAGGCTGATCCACCGGAGGATAGGTGTGCATAGTCATACGGCTATTTTTAGCGCTCGCCTTTGTGTGGGGTGGTGGTGTACGTGGGGAGTGTGGGATCACTCCCGGGCGGTGGTGAGCCAGCCAGCGAGCCATGTCCATCAGAGCGGGCGCTGGTGCGGGGGGGGCGATCACCCGATCGTCGGGGGCCCGGCGAGAAGTGGCCGAGGAGGAGGGGGGAGTGGAGGGGGTGGACGTCGCGCCGCTCACGGGGAGCGGGGAGGTGGGCGTCGGCCCCCACACGAGTGCATGAAACAGCTCGACAGACATCGACTATACAATGCATACATCCTCCCGTACTACTGTATGGTTCAGAGGCATGGTCAATGACAACGTCCCTGAGTAGGAAGCTGGATCCCTTCGACCAGTGGTGCCTGTGACGGATACTCCTCATCCACTTCAGTGAACACATCACCAAGTCTAGATTTGAAGCTTTCGTGACTGCAAGGATTCATATTCTTAGGTTTTTTTCGGTAAAGTCACGTAGGTAAAACATCAAAATTAATGAAAATAAAATAAAATACAAAATAAAAATCACGACGTTTCGGAGGCAACACAAGTCTCCGTCATCAGGTGGGACCGTCCCACCTGATGACGGAGACTTGTGTTGCCTCCGAAACGTCGTGATTTTTATTTTTTATTTTATTTTCATTAATTTTGATGTTTTACCTACGTGACTTTACCGAAAAAAACCTAAGAATACACATCACCAATGCCGAGGTCCGTCTTCGCACAGGATGCCCGGCAGTGCATAAAACGGTCACAGCCAGAAAACGTAGGATCTTTGGACACGTTGCCCGGACGGACGTATCAACAGATCACGCCAGAGCCCTGCGCAAGATCATTGATGGCCCACCACGGGACTGGAGGCGCCACCAGGGCAGACCATGGCTGACATGGACACACACGATTGAGGCTGAACTTTGACAACACGGCCTTCGCTTGCATTCAGCATGGCGGCTAGCGCAGGATAGGATTGCCTGGTGGCGGCTCGTGGGGAGTGTTACGCCCCGAGGGGCATGCACATGTTGATGATGAGACTGCTGGTTAAAATAGTCCATGAAATTCATCGCAACATTGCAATCCACTTTTAATAGTTTTTATTGTATTTTCTATCCAACATATGGCTGCACAATCAATGTATTAATGTTTTCATCCTATAATTCTGCATTCTTTGAACAAAATCATCTTTTCTAGATGCTCCAGGACTCCCCCTCAAATGTAATTCTTTACTTGAGGAAGGAATGTATGAGTAGGACATAAATGAGACGATACAAACATGACATCAATTTTATTGGGGCACTGAATCGGTGCATGCCTAATTATCACTATAATTATTACCGTGGCCTGCCTTCCACCATCCTATACACGTGTTCCACCCATAACAACCTACTGATCATGAGAATAGGTTTTCCCCTTTTTTCTGGGAACAAACAGGTGTTAAGATGTTAAAACACCAAACTGAAACCTTTTACAAAGAAAGACCTGCTGATCATATCGACACTTCTTTCTTGCTTCTAATTTCCAACATACAAGTTCTTTACCTCATCCTACCATGAAATTCCTAGGATCTGTCCACTGTATTCACATATATCCAAAGGCCAAAATATTTGACAGCTTAACGCTGTGATAAAAAAATGCTAGTGAAGCCGTAAACCCTCTGGTATGTTTCCTTTTAAAAGACAATGTCAATGAAGTCGGGCAGGCGTTTTAATTTTGTAGTTGTGGAGTGTTATGTGGCACTGATGTCAGAATACCCGCTGTTACGAAGCACAACACACCAAAGCATTAATCAAAACATATTTCTGCGTACAAAGTGGCCAAGAACACAATAATGTTTAAACCAAACGCCCGACCAATGTTTATTTTACTATATATGTTTAGCTATTGAATAGTAAGGAGATGGATACATACACAGATGGCTATATAGCTAAACACCATGCAGAATGGAGTGAAAGGGCTCAAACGCACGCACAGTCGTTAAATTCCAAAATCTAGCAAACGATAATGTTAACGAGATTCAAGGACTACATGTTTTTTTCTCTTTAGATACATTTACGAGCATACTATGCAGCTACTTACATTATTAATAGCCACCAAAACACATTAATTGGAGCCTTTAGTTTTTTGACAGCAGACATTCCGCAAACCCAAAGCTTGGCATGACATTAAAAGGGAGTCTCCATCCAGGGAAAGCTGTCAGTTGTTTCCATTTCCTGAAACAAAAACCGACGTCTATAAAGAAGCTAAGTGTTTGAATATCACACGTTTATATTCATGTGACAGTCCCAGCTCTCGAGAAAAATAACAATTTAAATTCATATAGTTTCATAGGGTCACTCAAAATGTTGGGGGCAGTTTTGCACAGTATATTAATAGTGACTTGGTTTTTCATGCGTGAGCCAAATAAAAAAAAATGTGCATGCAGAAATAAAGTGCCCTGAAAATAAGAGCAGTATGCACACTCTGTAACAACTGAGTAGCTCTACTGGAGCCATGAATGTCTTGTTACATTTTACATTTAAAATGCACATGTTTATGGCCCGATAATTTTGTATTCAGTACTGTGACACCCAATATCGGGAAATGTTTTCTCCTGCCTGGGAAATTGCATATTAATCTTTAAAAAGCCATCTGTGTGTGCAGTGAGTCTTTTCCCAAAAGGCAAAGAAAAGAACTGAGTGTTTCCCTTTAAGCAAGACCTTACAGAGACACATGAATGCCCTTCCATGTAAGAATTAGAAATACAAAAGTACACTTACTGATAAAGCAGCCAGAAAAGTGTTTTAAAATGCACAAATTTATGATAGCATGTAAATAACCCTAAACACCACAGGAAATATCCAAAAAAGTCAAAAAAGCTGAATAATATTCACAGCCTTCCCAGTAATTTCCTTTTTATTAATCTCAATACCCAGAAAATAAAATATATACGCTGTATATATATGCAATTGATATCGTAAATTAAAGAACGAACATGAAGCAATGAGCAGTTTCTTATGGAAGTCGCGGTCATATCTGCAGCACGTGTTCAGTTCCCCCGTGGTCAATGCTGGGTTTGGCCTCAGCTCTGCTCTGATGACCTCTATATATTCTACAATCCCCTGCTGGATTGCGCATGTGGTGCTTGGTAACTCTGGCGTGTGTGGGTAGTGGAGGAAGTGCACTGTCTGATAAGTGAGAGGGAGTGCATACTGTATCTATGAAAAAAACAAGACTCAAATGGGACACCTTTTCTGAATTAAGCTGTCTCTGTTATTGCATTGTGCTGATTATATTATGTCCTAAGGGTTTACTGAACTTTTAATTTTATATCGGAGCAAAGTAACTTTGCAACTTATAATTTAAATGTAGTTTTGTTTCAACGGAATAATAAACTGGAAGTGTTAAATATTTCCCGTTGATTAGTATTATCTTTTCTATTTGCTTAGAATTTTTAAAACTTACCATTAAGGTGAAGCGTGTAAATGAAACATGTCCATTTGGTTACATCACACAGCGATTGAAAAGTTTAACCCATTGTATATTTTTCTGCTCCGAAGGGTATACTAAAATCAATGGGTGTTGTTTTTTTCTAATGGTAATTATAGTCAAGATCAAAATACATGATACTCTTGCGAATGATGGAAATATGTTCAGGAGCTAAATGCTAATGTCGAGATCTGCTCGCCACGAGAGATCTGCTCGCCACGAGAGATCTCCTCGCCACGAGAGATCTGCTCACCACGAGAGATCTGCTCGCCACGAGAGATCTGCTCGCCACGAGAGCGCTTCAGGAGTCCGTGTAGTTACGCGATCCCTCCGTTGAAGGAGCGCAGACTACACTTGTTGTTTACTACACTACACACTAGTACTGTACTAGTACACTACACTACTATACACTACACTACTATACACCAGAGGTGGGACAAAGTCATTGTTATGCAAGTCCAAGTCGAGTCTGAAGTCATCAAATTCATGACTCGAGTCTGACTCGAGTCCAAGTCACATGACTCGAGTCCACACCTCAGAGGTGGGACAAAGTCATTGTTATGCAAGTCCAAGTCGAGTCTGAAGTCATCAAATTCATGACTCGAGTCTGACTCGAGTCCAAGTCACATGACTCGAGTCCACACCTCAGAGGTGGGACAAAGTCATTGTTATGCAAGTCCAAGTCGAGTCTGAAGTCATCAAATTCATGACTCGAGTCTGACTCGAGTCCAAGTCACATGACTCGAGTCCACACCTCAGAGGTGGGACAAAGTCATTGTTATGCAAGTCCAAGTCGAGTCTGAAGTCATCAAATTCATGACTCGAGTCTGACTCGAGTCCAAGTCACATGACTCGAGTCCACACCTCAGAGGTGGGACAAAGTCATTGTTATGCAAGTCCAAGTCGAGTCTGAAGTCATCAAATTCATGACTCGAGTCTGACTCGAGTCCAAGTCACATGACTCGAGTCCACACCTCAGAGGTGGGACAAAGTCATTGTTATGCAAGTCCAAGTCGAGTCTGAAGTCATCAAATTCATGACTCGAGTCTGACTCGAGTCCAAGTCACATGACTCGAGTCCACACCTCAGAGGTGGGACAAAGTCATTGTTATGCAAGTCCAAGTCGAGTCTGAAGTCATCAAATTCATGACTCGAGTCTGACACGGGTCCAAGTCACATGACTCGAGTCCACACCTCAGAGGTGGGACAAAGTCATTGTTATGCAAGTCCAAGTCGAGTCTGAAGTCATCAAATTCATGACTCGAGTCTGACTCGAGTCCAAGTCACATGACTCGAGTCCACACCTCAGAGGTGGGACAGAGTCATTGTTATGCAAGTCCAAGTCGAGTCTGAAGTCATCAAATTCATGACTCGAGTCTGACTCGAGTCCAAGTCACATGACTCGAGTCCACACCTCAGAGGTGGGACAAAGTCATTGTTATGCAAGTCCAAGTCGAGTCTGAAGTCATCAAATTCATGACTCGAGTCTGACTCGAGTCCAAGTCACATGACTCGAGTCCACACCTCAGAGGTGGGACAAAGTCATTGTTATGCAAGTCCAAGTCGAGTCTGAAGTCATCAAATTCATGACTCGAGTCTGACTCGAGTCCAAGTCACATGACTCGAGTCCACACCTCAGAGGTGGGACAAAGTCATTGTTATGCAAGTCCAAGTCGAGTCTGAAGTCATCAAATTCATGACTCGAGTCTGACTCGAGTCCAAGTCACATGACTCGAGTCCACACCTCAGAGGTGGGACAAAGTCATTGTTATGCAAGTCCAAGTCGAGTCTGAAGTCATCAAATTCATGACTCGAGTCTGACTCGAGTCCAAGTCACATGACTCGAGTCCACACCTCAGAGGTGGGACAAAGTCATTGTTATGCAAGTCCAAGTCGAGTCTGAAGTCATCAAATTCATGACTCGAGTCTGACTCGAGTCCAAGTCACATGACTCGAGTCCACACCTCAGAGGTGGGACAAAGTCATTGTTATGCAAGTCCAAGTCGAGTCTGAAGTCATCAAATTCATGACTCTAGTCTGACTCGAGTCCAAGTCACATGACTCGAGTCCACACCTCTGCTATATGCTCCATAATTTGGTTGCATGGCCACAATCGAAATGTGGCTGTTTTTTTATTTCAATATATTAAGGAGATGTGCACATTACCCTCTTGATGTTATGATGTGGTTGATGGTTACACCAGTGTCTTCGGAGAATGTCAAAGACAGCAGGTACGATGTTTGGGTATCAAATGAGGATTGGTGGGATATTTGTGTCTGCTTTCTCCACACCTTCCCGCAGAGGGCAGTGTAAGTGTGTGCGAAGTGTTGCCCTATATGTGAATCTCAAAACGCAGCTGAGTAACCAGTGGCCACTGAGGGCTATTCTTGATGCATCACAAACCGTGTGATGGGGGAATTGCCCATCTCAAAAATTCCATTACAAACTCTCATTTCACAGGCAGCTAGAAACATCTCTCCGACAAAACACAAGGACCTCGGGTCACTTTTAATTTTACCCCACTGACAAATGATGAATGTTGGGTTTTCTCTTCCTCTGAGTGAAAACACTCAATATTTTAAAGTCATAATTAACCACACGATGATTGAACTTTCACCTACTCTGCGCATATGACCTGGATTTACATCACAGCAGAGACCATGGTGCTACCAACTGAAACTATCAAAGTTGGTTGCTTCATGTATGTTGAACTTCTTTCGCACCGTACACAGCCAACCGTGCAAATCAAAGGTGCGAATGAATGTACATTACCCTGATTGCTTCGTGATGAACGTACATTACCCTGATAGAACAACAAACCCACTGTGTGTAATTTCTTTAGTTCAATTGTCAATAATTTCCATTAGACATCATGGGAGATTTTTTTCCTAAATCATGGAAGAGAGATGAAAATATATTATCATCCGTGTTGTCTTGTGGTACTGCACACAACACAGGTAAAACCAAGTCGCATGAATGATACATTATCGAATTAATGTCACGTAGAAATTGGTTCACATCATGTTTACCCTTAATTCAAATAAAAATGTATTGGGCCAAACTTTTTTCCATTATTATAATGGCAAACAATTGGTAAATAAGTCATGGTATGTCTGAGGTGGATTTATTTTTGATCAAAACCCTGTCCCATTGTAAGTGGGGCACCGTAGTGGTGAGATGTTAACTACCACGCCTGGTATACAGAAAGGTCGTGGGAGCGATCCCAACCCTGACGCTTTGACATTTCGAGTTTGCATGTTCTCCCCGTGGCCGCGTGGATTTTTATCCGTGTCCTCCTGTTTTCCCCTCCACATTCAAAAACATGCGTTTAGAGTATTTGGCTGCTATAAATTTCCACACGATAAGCCACTTAGTTGAGCTATAATTTGTGGCCAGGTCGCTTCTGAAAAAGAGCTATATAGCTCAGTGGACCTAATCTGGTAAAATAAAAAGGTTAGTTTAGTTTATTGTGTCAGGAGATCAAATGTGAGTGTTATAATTTGTATTCAATATTCGACCAAACTACGAGTTTAGAGATTGGTGTGGGACTCTTTCTCTGGTGAGCCTCCAGGACAGCTCGTGTTTCAGGATTAATCATCGAACAGCAGGGGTTTCATCTGTGCCCCTTCCCCAACCAAAGCCCGTGTTCAAGGTTTCCATGTTGCCCCTACCACTGTACGTAGCCCTGCCCGCCTGAACCCCCATCCCTCCGCTGCTTCCCCCCCGCCCGCCACATCTAGACCCAGCGCATCTACCACACGTAGCCATCATCACTCTCATCCTCATCATCTGGGTCTTCCTCTGGTTCCACTTCCACCTCCTTTTCTTGCTCTCTCTCCCGCCCAGCCACTTTCATCTTGGTCAGATCCTCGGCCTCTGGTTTTCCACCCACTCCTTCATTTTCTTTCTCATTTCTATCATCTTCGTTGCCGTCGACATCATCATCATCGTCGTCATCTTCATCGTCATCATCCGTCCATTCCGCCACATCCCCGCTGCCCAGGTCGCCAGAGCCTTCCACCTCTTCCTCTTCCTCACTCGCCGTGATCTCCTCTGTCTTTCTTTCACCTGACAATATTGCACCGAGTGAGAATATGATAACGTACAATTCTGACGCGATGATGAAAATTGCTCTGCAATGCTCACAATACGAGGAATTCCTTGATTACATGCTTCTGGAAACATTTTTTGAAAGCCTCAAGGTGTAAACGAATATCAAACTGTGGTAAATGGAATGGGCTAAGATGTGAAAGCTCAGTACAGGATATTTTTTTTGTTTAGAGAACATCTAAATGTAATCGCATCTAAAGATGCTGTATGATATAGGGGACATTAGAAGAGGGGAACAGAGAGACTATGATTTATACCTGACATCTTAGGGTCTAGAAACGGTGAAAATTACAAGGACATCTTAGTTTTTTTTTAAGTCACAAGGTCTGGAATGATATTGCTCGAGTTCTCCAGATAGAAAGGTCAGACAGACCAAGGTGAACACCTGTGCATGTTGTGGTGCAAGGGTCGATCTGTGAGGTGCTTTAAATATCAGGATTGAAAAGTGGGAACAAACTGAAAAGGCTGTCCATTACACTGGGGAGAAAGTTAAAGCATTAGTCAACAAGCCACTGGTACAAATACTCTCACTGACTGTTACCCGATTGTAAAACCCACCTCCACCGCTTTGGCAGGGCACATTAGTCGCCTGTTATTGTTGGGAAAAAAAGAGACAGCCTTATCAAACGTACCACAGCTGGGCTCCCCATGCAAGCGAGTGCCCGGGGTCTCCTTGCCATACTGGTCCACGCACCAGCATTGGCCTGTGCTGCCATGGCACTGCTTGGGTCCGTAGTAGCCCTGCTCGTCGCACGTGGGTATGAACCCGCCTGTGGCACAAGTCACACCGGGCTGTCACACACGGGGACGTGCAGACCCAGGCAACAGACGAGGTCCGAAAAAACCGTCGTGAGGAGGGACGAGACGAGAGACTCTGGAGACCAAATTGGACACCGTTGTGCGATACAGTGAGATTGCTGCGAAGAGAAAGACTCGACCCAAGTAAGGTGTGATGAGACCATCGCGCTGTGGTTGCTCAAAGATGGAAACATTCACGAGTATTAAACAATGCTGACCATCAGATTAAAATTAGAATACTTTGGAAGCTGGAAGTACAATGGGGCCATTGCCCCTTCCGCATACAGAAATCCGCCTGCGTTACAGATGGGCACGCGCTCCACATGCCGAGCAACATGCCGTCATTGAGAGGCACGACATTTATGAGGTTGCGGACAGTAAACAATTCGCACTGCCACTCTGCAGCGCGTGGCAGTGCCGTGCCTTTCTTCTTGCAGGTTGTCTATGCATGAGTTTTGCATTATGACACAGGGATGAGAATAGTTACATGAATATACATGAGTGTATCGGGAGGATGATGAGGCAAGCAAAGGGGAACAAGTGACAAATGAGTAGGAACAAATGCTGAGAAGTGACGTTGAGAGCAACTAAGAATACATGAGAGGGGGGCACGGGTGGCGGTTGTCACCCAGCAGTGAATGCGTTGTGGGCATGTGCAAACCCATACGTGTACTTAACGTAAAATGAAACATTCGCGCATTCAATTAAGTTGCCAATACGACCATTATACATAAATCTCCACAATTTCACTGTTCAGCATGTGCTTTAGAATGATCCATTTAAAACTTTTAATTAACATTAGAACAATTACATTACGTATCCATTTTTGACAAGTGCGGCTGATAATAAAGTATTCATTGGAATTAATATTAATATGACTCAATTGAAGACAAATTACATTTGATGAATGTAATATAGGCCTCAAATTAAAAAAACAACACTAGAGATGCTTCATTTAAGCATTTCATCTTCATTGCATGCCACAGCAGGCAACCAATGATCATCGCAATTGTAATGTGAATGCATTGTCCTACCCACGAGCTTCTTGCTATGTTGAAGTTTTTCTTTCTCCGCATGGCATGGGGGCTCTGGAAAGCAAGAGAGGACATTTAAACACGACCGCTCACTAAGTTGGGTCCACTTATTTACCTGCATTGCCATGTGTCCGTCCACACTCACTGAACACAAAGCATTGGCACAACACGCCTCTGTATACTGGCAAGAGAGAGCCCTACCGGGCTTTGGCACAAGTTGCCACAGCTACACCTGAGAGTGGCATGGCACACTGGAGGAACCCTCACAGACACGGACACAGAAATTGTTGCCAAAAGAAACTAGAGCCATGCCAGATCATAGTGATACATACTGCAGCCACAACAGATGTTGGTACAACAGACCGCACATTTACAGTAGCTGCTGGCACACCACAATACTGCCATAGCAGGTATTGGCAACATTCACCACAACCACATCGATCATTGGCATGAAACGCGATACCCACGCCAGGCACTGGCACACCACATAACAGTCACAACAACTCGTGGAGCAACGCGCCACAGCCACAAAGATAACACTGTGTTACAGCAACATTTTTTTAGTTCCTGGATAGTAAGTGTTATTTCCTAATTGCTTATGCCTCAAAAGTACAGAAAATGGCTATTATTCCCCACAAACTTTGCTTTTGTGACCAGGACAGTGATATTTTTAATGTACCTATTTTCCAGAACATTCCAGAGAGATTCAGTACTGAGTAAACTTGGAGTAACTCCTAGAACATTCTAGAACTTTCCAGTAATATAAATAGTAGTATAAATATAGGGGCCTTAAGACCACCAGTTCGGTTCAGTTCCAGCTGACTTAAGTGGATACATATCTGCATTTTTCTGAGATGGCATCAAGAGGCTGCAAGCATCCGGCAGACGCATTTTGCTATGTCTGCGGCCAATTTATCAAGACAAGAGCGAAAAAGTACTCTGTGGAAGCATCTGCTAAGATGTGTGAGGCCTACAAGGCATATTTCGGCATGCCTGACGGGGATCAAGACAAACCCTGGGCACCTCATTTCACCTGCGAGCAATGCAACAATACTCTGGAAGGTAAGATGGACAATCATTGCTCGGAATTTTACAGTTATAAAATTTGTTGCAATTTTTTTAATTGTAAAAGTTTTTTTTTTTTTTACAATTTTCAATGTTATTGAAACATATATCATATATGAAAAATGTTGCGATAATCTCTTACACATTAGTCATGGGTGAAATAAATGTATTTTTGTAGGATGGAACTGAGGGGAAAAGAGAGCCATGAAGTTCGCTATCCCAATAATTTGGCAGGAACCCACTGACCACTCAAGCAACTGCTACTTCTGCATAGGGGACCCTTCCAAACGTCGGACTGGCAAGAATGCACCTGCTATCACGTATCCGGACCTTCCTTCATCCATCGCCCTGGTGCCACACTGCCATGAGCTCCCCGTACCCACTCCTCTGGAGAGAGAGCAGCCGTCTTTAGAAGAGAGCAGCAAGTCAGAGAGCGGGGAAGACGTTGTAGATCCAGATAACAATGTCAGAGGTGGAGCTGAAGAGAGAAACACATACTACCCCAACCAAAAAGACCTCAACGACTTGATCAGAGATCTTGGTCTCACCATGTCCAATGCCGAGCTCTTGACATCTAGGGTCAAGCAGTGGAACTTGTTGGATGCAAGTGTGCAAGTCGCAGATCAGGGGAAGCGTCACCAACCTTTTTTGCAGCTTATTCACCCATCACGACGGGCTCTGCTTCTGCCACAATGTGACCAGTCTGTTCGAGGCAATCGGAATCGCCTGTAACCAGAATGAGTGGCGCCTCTTCATTGGCAGCTCATCCATGAGCCTCAAAGCCCTGCTGCTCCATAATGGTAACAAGTACCCGTCTCTTCCCCTGGCTCACTCGGTGCAGCTCAAAGAGGATTACAATAGCATCAAGACCTTGCTGGATGCCTTGAAGTATGATGAGTATGGTTGGGAGGTCATCGGAAACTTAAAAATGGTGGGATTCCTGATTGGTCTCTAAGACAGTTTTACCAGGTTTTGCTGCTATCTTTGCTTTTGGGACAGCAGGGACACCAAGGCGCACTACCACAGGCAGGACTGGCCACAGCGGACCGAGTTCTCTGTTGAGAGGAACAACGTCAAGTGGGAGCCACTGGTGGACCCCCGGAAGGTGCTGATGTCACCACTGCACATCAAATTGGGCCTTATGAAACAATGTGTCAGAGCTGTAGATAAGGAGTCAGCAGCCTTCAAGTACCTTCAAGACTTCTTCCCTAAGCTGTTTGAGGCAAAGGTCAAAGGCGGTTTCTTCATCGTACCACAGATAGAGAAGATCCTGGAGTGCAATGAATTCCCCCAGAAGCTCTCTAGTAAGGAGAAAGCGGCTTGGGATAGCTTTGTCGCAGTGGTTTCCTGGGCAATCACAAAGTCGAACACTATGTGGAGCTGGTTGAGACTCTGGTGAAGAACTACGGCACAATGGGCTGTAGGATGTCCCTCAAAGTCCATATCCTGGATGCTTATCTTAATAAATTCAAAGAGAACATGGGAGAATACTCGGAGGAGCAAGGCGAGTGCTTCCACCAGTATATACTGGACTTTTAACGTCGCTACCAAGGACAGTATGATGAGAACATGATGGGAGACTACATTTGGGGGCTGATTCGTGAAAGTGATTTACAGTATAATTGTAAATCTCGAAAAACTACTCACTTCTAAATCCTTTGTAGTCATTTTTGTATTACTTTAGTATAAATACATGTAAAATTTTATTCATATGTTGTTTTTATCTGACTTTGTGAACGAAAAGACACAAATTCACCTGTTTTCTCATTGAAAATAGATACATTTCAAAATATCACTGTCCTGGTCACAAAAGCAACGTTTATGGGGAACAATAGGCATTTTTTTATTTGAAGCTTTTGTGACTGCAAGGATTCATACTTTTTGGTTTTTTCGGTAAAGTCATGTAGGTAAAAAATAAAATAAATGAAAACAACTAAATTAAATCACGACGTTTCAGGCGCAACACAAGTGTCCATCATCAGGTGGGAAAGCATGGCCTGCTGCCATGCATGGCAGTAGGCAGTAGGCCATGCATGGCCTACTACCATGCTTTCCCACCTGATGACAGACGCTTGTGTTGCGCCTGAAACGTCGTGATTTAATTTAGTTATTTTGATTTATGTTATTTTTTACCTACGTGACTTTACCGAAAGAAACAAAGAGTAATAGCCATTTGCTATACTTTTGAGGCATAAGCAATTACGAAATAACACTTACTACCCAGGAACAAACATTGTATTACATAGTGTTATCGGCAAGACTCATTACAGTCACACCAGGTTCTGACATAACACACTGCAGCCACTGTAGTCATTGGCACACCTACTGACTTAGGCAACAGCATGGCAGTGATGAAAGTGGGAAACGATAGGGAAAAGCCTTTGTCCAGTAGCGATTAGACACGGGCTGATTGAAAAACTGACACTGGGCAGCGGCAAGAGGGCGATGAGCAACCAACACTTACTTTGACGCTGGAAACAGAAGCACCACTCGTTGTTGGAGAGCAGGCTGTCGCTGTAGGTATCGCACTTGTCCAGGAAGGTGGAGAGGCAGGGCTCGTGTCTCTCGGGCGACTCCAGGCCACCCGCCACCCCGCGGCCAAGGCCCATGGTGCTGAGCTCACCCTGGTCCAGGAAGAGGTCGTGGTTGGAGTCCAATCGGTTGAACATCCACCCGACGTGGTCCCGGCAGATGGGCAGCATGCTGGTGTCGAAGGCTGCGCGGGTGTGGGAACAGTAGTAGGTGGATATAAGCACACCTTGATAAGGGCATATCTCAGAGGTCACGTATCTAAAGTGCAGTAGCTGCGAGAATCTTGCAGTGGGTAGAACGCATTGGTGAGATCTCGTGGCATCAGTTGTTTTGTGAACTCATATAATGAAAGTTCTCACATTCACAAAACATACAGGTATTGCTTTGTGGGGATGGGGAGGCAAAGGGCAACTACTGATATACAAGCACACTACTTCGAACATAACCACACATGGTATGGCTTCTAAGAGGTACTTATATACAGATGATTCTGCATTAGGAAACCCTACGACACGAGGTGGATCTGCAGCATTGCTCCAAGCGATGCTCATGTTGGCTCGGTTTTCGGTCAATGGCACAGAGCGGTGTGTGGTGCGCTACAACAAAAAACTACAATGTGTATTGCAACAACAACAAAATGGAACGGTCATGATTGGGGATGCATGTTTAATTATAACACTGTGTAACAAAAACATTTTGTTCCTGGGTAGTAAGTGTTATTTCCTAATTGCTTATGCCTCAAACGTACAGAAAATGGCTTATTCCCCACAAACTTTGCTTTTGTGACCAGAACAGTGATATTTAGAAATTTACCTATTTTCAATGAAAAAAATGGGTGAATTTGTGTTTTTTCGTTCACATACAGTCCTGGTCACAAAAGCAAAGCTTGTGGGGAACAATATCCATTTTCAATACTTTTTAGGCATAAGCAATTAAGAAATAACACTTAGTACCCAGGAACAAAAATTGTGTTATATAGTGTAATTATTGATTTCAATGAAAGGGAAGCACCTGAAATGTCACATCCGGAAAAGGACTTGCATTTCTGAGGCTACCACGAAGGTTGGTGTTTGACTCACTTTGGAATCAATGCTTGGGATGAAGTGTTATTTCCCTACGCAGAGTGATTAACGAAATGCCCATAATGCCACACATTGCAGGATCCATTCCACATGGTTACATAAAATTAAATACTTGGTAATTAGTGATGGCAGCTGTGATGTGTTATAGACCATGGGTTTGTTTGCTGGTGTTACTGTTTCCAATGGCATCGTGAACGATGGGCTGACACTGTGTGCCTGCTAACGTCACCTTCCTTCATTATGGCGATCATCATCTGCACAACACCACGATGCATAACATTAGCAAATCTGCGTGTATTGGTTTAAAAAAATCTAATTTCCTGCTCTATTTGGTTTAATAAGGTTGATCACCTTCAAAACAATGAAGAAGCAGTGAGAAATAGACAGCCTTTACAAAAGTCACTTTTGTATTTTGTGTCCAGTGATTAGTTTCGTTGTACAATTTCCTCTCTATATTCTTGTTAAATTATAACCGTCTCTTGACTTAAAGCTTTTGTGACTGCAGGAATTCATATTCTTTGGGTCTTTTGGTAAATTCACATTGATAGGTTCAAAGAAAATAAAATGTGTTATTTTTTGTTATTTTGTTTGAACCTATCTACGTGACTTTACCGAAAAACCCAAAGAATATAACCGTTTCTTGCAAAATAGGCATTGCTGCATGGAAGAAACAAAACTGCCATAATCAACGCATATGATCGTTTTAATCCAAGGCACGTTGAGATTAATGCCATAAAGCTATGCAGTATTAGCATCACGTTTATATAATAAGAAAACTGATTGGGCAAATTATCTATTATGTGAGTGTCTGGCTTATAACTTGGGCATTAGCTAATTCCGTACTGGATAAAGTGGTGCATTAATAATTCAGTCCCTCCAGAAAAACGCGATTATGCGATCGCAAGATTCCACGCAAAATCAGCCAAAGTCCGCATATTTATGCGGGGGGCGCGTTTTTTCAAATACGCCGCACTTTCGCCGCATAAATTGCAGATTTCCGCGCGCAAAATATGCGGGCTTGCATGATTTCATAATCTCCGCATTTTCGTTGCAAAAAGTCACATATATCTTAGCAGAAAGTTGAAAAATGTTGCGTTTACTTCACACAAGCGCAGCCATTTCCCCTGTTGCCATGGGAACGTTATGAAGTGTTAGAGGCTACGTAGTTAGTTTTATTCAGGAGTTTATGCAACTTTACAGTTGTAAGATTGCACTTTTTTGTTAGTAGTATGTAAATTTACATTACTGTAAGACTGTACTGTTACTGTATTGCTTACGTTACTGTGCACTGAAAACACTTATTTTAACAGAAGATGTCTGTTTTGTATAGCTACCTCTGTAAAACAGGAAGCACACATTTTATTTTTTAATATTTTATTTATTCATTTTTACAGAAGTTGTAGCATATTCATTTTGTAAAGCTACAGAACTTGTTCGACTCAATGTTTTGTAAGTTTGAGCCATCTGTTTGTTAAGGTCTGAAATAAAACAAGATGAGAACTTAAATATTCCCAGCACTTTCTGTGATGTAGTATGCTTGCTTATCATAGGAAGTAATAAGAAATGACTCTTTACATTAAAGTAGTAGCCTAGTGAATAGGGTGTTGTGGGAATCACTTTTTTTTCTCTTTTTCATCAAACCGCAGTTTTTGCAAGTTCCCGCAATTTTTGCAAGTTCCCGCAATTTTATCGCATAAAATTGCATAAATATCCCGCATATTCCATCGCATTTTTTAAGAAAACGTGCCGCATAATCAACGATTTTTGCCCGCAACAATCACCAAAAAACTCCGCGTTTTTCTGGAGGGACTGATAATTATGTGCAGGGGTAGTGTTATATGTGGCAGATAGGCAGAAGTTAAAGTAGTGGGTAGCCAGTGGATAAAATGGTTTATAGGTTGTGAGTAGAATGATTGGTATGTGTGTTTGGTGGTGGTGAGTGGTGTCTTGAAGTTGGTATATAATGTGGTGGATGGATAGTGTGTAGGGTGGTAGGTCGGTAGTGGACAGAGTGATGGGTAGTGGGTAGAGTCGTGTATGAGTAGTTGCGAAGGTGGTTGGTAGGTAGGTAGTGACTAGGGTCGTTTGTAAGGATTGGGTTATGCGGTGGTGGGTAGTGGGCAGGCTAGTGCATGGAAATGTAGTGCATAGTTTGTTGGGTGGGTTGTGGAGAGGCTACTTGGCATATATTGAGGTATGGATGAGGGTGGTACAAGATAATTGATAGTTCCAGACTTTAGGTTAAACTACAGACACGAGACGTCATGACATCAGCTCACAACAACCCACAAATAAAAATGTATAACATGTGAAAAATTATGACAGAGGGTTGAACAGGCTATGTGCTGACCCTGAGCTCCAGGCAATACAATTTTATTTTGTTACAAAGCATAGTCTCGCTTGATATACTGGCTGTCAGTTTGTTAATTTAATCTTGAAGAGAGTGTGAATATTAGTTTTTTTATGTCTTGGAATAAATTTCAGCCTTGGTAGAAATGTAATTTCGTGCTTTGGTGTTATTTTTGAGTGAATCATAATTAGCACATGACATCTTTTAACATTTTAGGTAAATGAGACATCAAAAAAACACAAAATAATCAAGGAAATAACGATTTTTGCATTTAGATCACTGAGCATTCAACATGTCAAAATTTACAATAAATTAAATGCAGATTCATTTAAACTTAGTTAATAAATATTTTGTTGCATTGAGCCATTCATGCAAAACTACAATGTTTCTACTCTTTTTACACTCATGTGAATGGAGGGATTGCATACATTATAATTTTATTATAATTTTCCAAAATACCCCACTGCAGGTATATTTTCGTGTTGTCTGCACTCCACTTGTCACCTACGCAAGGTCACTTGAACTCTCAATCGGAAAGGTCTCAAGTTCAATTTAAATTCAGAAATTTACTCAATGCATCATTTCCACAGGCTCAATCAAATAAGTACTACTTTTGGGAACGTCAAGAGCGATTCCCTTATGGAGAGACTGGCCCTTGTTGATAGGCATGTGTGATCTCCGATGCTCGCTCAGGGCCACCGACGGAGATGAATGCCACCCCACACTACATTGAAAATAAAGACACTTTGACAATCAGTGGAGTGTGCAGGCTGTGTAACTGCGCCAATGCCCACAGGCTGGAGGGGCACTGGCACTGCGGTATGTAGAAGGGAGGCGAGGCATACAGGAAGACCCATTTTATGTCTTGCACCAGGGCCCATGCGAACCAAACGATGTCACTGTTTGATGTGATGCCTTTGCCTATTCATCCTCTTGCCCTTATGGCTAAGGATTCAGTTGTACCTTCCCCACTCCCCTTCTCCCCCAACCCCCCCTCCCCCCCCACAGGCACTCACCGGTGGGGTCCGTGGGCTGCGCGTGGCCCCCAGTTTCTCTCGCTGCATTGGTGACCGCTTGCTGGTGCAGAACACGAAACCAGTCCTTGAGGCGTGACGCCATGTCCGTCAGCTCACGGTCCGAGCACACGTCTGGTGAGGGGAGATAAATTGTTTTCGTCGGGGAAAGGGGGGCAGAGAAGAATACGGTTCTGATGAGAATGGCCTTGAGATGGTCTGGGGGCTCAGAGCAATGAGCCAGTACCCATGAGATTAGAGGTTTGAATCCGGGGAATCCAGCCGGTGATTAAACCGTGTAGTGCGTATCGTATTACATTTAATTTCTACACTTAATTTGGTTCGTTCTAGCTCGTTGGATAACAAAATATATGCTTTTAATTGTCACAGTGTGAACACTTTTAAGGCAGGGTATTTGAAAATGTGCACCACCATCACCTAGCTTGGATGCAAGGCATAATCGCCTCAAATGCACGGACAAGAAGAGAAAGACACCAGTCTATGTCCATATTTTGACTTTGTGCAGCGTGAAAGCAGGGCTGTCAATTGTTATTGGCCCCCAGGAGAAGATAGGCTCAACCGGTTGTTAAGTGAATGACCTTTGACATTTCTAAGGACCATTACGTCCTGAAATCGATCAGAGCCCAACGAGCCAGAATCTGCGAGTTTCAATTTCTCAGGTGTTGAATTTGGAATGTTTTAATCACACTTCAAAAGGTAGCCGAGGAAATGTCTGTTAACACTTCCCCTTCAATTACCAAAGCCATTGACTGGTTTTTCTGTGGTGTTTGTGTGTGAGACGTGAATGTTGTGCGTATGGGTGTGTACACGTTGTGAGTGTGATCAGTGTGGGGAACGGTGGTGTAGAGTGGGGTTTTCGCTATGCTATGAACTCTGTGAAGTTAGTTTAAGTCCCGTATTTATCTGAACTGGTTCTTGGCCTTCCCAAGGTCAACTTGGCCTCAAATAAGTACCTAGTGCTGTGTTTATGGAGCAGCACTGGGAAGACAGTGGCGGTCCGGGTGTGGAATTGGCCACACCACCCGCTCTCCTGGGCAATGCCAGCCGTAAAATAGGTGTTCTTCACTGCCAGAACTTGTCTAAGCAGAATATGTAGGCTATACTATAAATGGACTTTGTCGTTGTGTGTGGTGAGTGTACAGTGTTGTGCTTGTCAGTGTGTCACATTTAATGTTGTGTGGCAGGTAATGAAAAGGAAATCCGCCTAAAATGCCCGAGGAATGACATTTTCAGAACGACCAAATTGATATCCATTACTTTATCCCTGCTGCGCGCCAAATTAGTGTCACGCGATTTTAAACCAGGCGCTGACCTGACATGCACCATTTGCTCATACTGTTTATTTAACCTCCCTGCACAAAACACATCGTTCCACTTGGCATCAATTAAAATCAATTATGTATGAAAGTGTAGAGACACATAATGTGGTCTCGACGCTGTTGCACCAGCCACAGGGCTGGAGGGGCGCAGAGCACCGGGAGCCTCCATTGGAGGATGAGAGGACACGTGACTGGGAGCGGGGAGCTCGGGTCGGGACACAGAGAGGGGGCGTGGCCAAGGGCGGCAGGGGATAAAGGGGAGCGCCGAGGGCATTCAGGGCTCGTGTTGGGGGATCGATGCAAGAGGACTCGCGCTACGTTCTTCAGGGGTCCGCTCTTCGTCTTCGCGTAGAGTTAACTAGAAGTCGTGGGTTCTGTAGCGTGTGATTTACAGACCCGTTCGCTAGCTAACTCACACACACATAGTAACCAGTATAGGACAGCATAGCCACACTTGACAGTTTAGAACCCGGTGATCAGTGAGTTGTTTATTAAAAGAATTGCTTCTGTCGAACAGTGTGTGTGCCTCAGTAATTGCACATGCTACAAAAGTATAAAAACTGTACTCTTTTACATAGTGGAATCTGTCAAGCGCAGATTAAGATATGTCTCCACGTTAGATCTCCAGCCATGATTAAGCATATATTCTAATCCAACTGTAGCTCTCTCTAACTCACACACACCAAGAACTCCCTTATCTTCATCATTTTTCTGCAAAATGGGTAATCATATAGACCTGTTTTGCTGGGAGCATATGTGTATTCCATATGTTGCTCCACAATATTTGTAGAATTGGCATGTTCGTTCAAACCAGTTGTTTTAAACTTGACTCAAATTTAAAGAAAGTGTGCTCATGGAGCAGTAAACGGGTAAATATTTACGGCTTATAATGAGCTTTACAGAAATCTACGACGAGGTAGAAAGTACCCAAATGCAGCCAAAATCATCATCTTCAAAACCACTCTTTTATTTAAAAAAAACAAGTGAGCTCTATAGGACAGATTTACATTTGCATGTTGTCTATATAGCATTGTTTATGAACATTGTATTCAGTCTGCAATTAACTTCGTGAATGAGTAATTAATTGAAACACCAGTTCTGGCAGCTGGACATGTCTGGTATGGATGGTGCGGTTTAAATATTAAATGATGACAATCATGATAATTTTGAAATCGTGACAAAATGGCCGTTGACATTTACGGCAATGCTGGCGATCAATAAAGTGCGAAAAAGAGCTTCAAAACTCATCCAGTATAAATAATGAATCTGATTCTGATTCAAAAAGTGAGGTTCTTCAACGACACATGAATCTAGCCCCATGCATCTCGATGATCCACAATATGCACCCATGGGCAACTTCTTGCTCAAAGAAGGATTTAAAGTGGGCGATGGCGCAAGAATGAAAAGTGTTAAAACATCGTCACCCCAGGTTGGCTGTTTAATTTGGTGTTGGGTTCATATCGATGCGGGGCGACACAGAATCAGCTGATCATTCCAGCTCCCAACAGCAAACATGACCTCAACCCTGAACTGTTCCCACAGTCTATTAAATTCATCAGGCCCTGCGTGGCTGGAAGATCATTAACTTGCAATGGGAGCACAACTCGAGGCGCCGCGGCCGACACAAGTTTCAATAATTCAGCCTGAGGCTTAGAAAAAGCATCTGCATTATTAATTAAAGCTCACTTATTTTCCCGATTAGTTCTAACGGCATTGTATGATTTCATACTTGCTCAAATACTCGTGTAATGTTTTCTTCATTCATTTCGGTTCACTTGATTAAGCAAAAACGAGCAGGAAAACAAAAGCTGGTCATCACTGTCGGAGGCGTGCAAAATAAATGGAATGGATGAAAACAGTCGGTGGCCATGCTTATATTGACAACCCCAAAGGACAGAATGTTTTTTTGTTTAAGTGATCGTGGATCAGAATCAGAACCTTTATTTATCCTTGAGAAATCCGATGAGCTATGAAGCTCTTTTTCACAAATGTCCAGTAGGGGTGGGTCAGAAAGTTACAACACAATACAACAAAGTGTTGGAGTGCAAAGTATAGGAAAAGATAGCAAATTACTAAAATAAAATACATATAATAGATAAAGTATATAAGTTTAAAACTGCATAAGTACACCAATTCCCCAAGCTTGGGAAAGGCAACAAAACAACAACACAGTCCCAGACCACACCAACACATGCACACAGTTTATAAAAAAAGAATTGCATATTAAAATTTAACTATCGATACATGACTTAAAACTTTCGTGCTTGCAAGAATTCATATTCTTTGGTTCTTTCGGTAAAGTCACGTAGATGGAGAAACATGATTTTGGAAATATTTTTTACTACCCCTGCTATGTATGGCAAGGTGATGGTTTTGATAGGATCAATTATATGGCTCCTTCTTCACAGTAGGGGTGATGGCTTTGCGGATTGTGTAGTCAGAATATCCATTCGCCTTGAGAGCTTGGTGTACGTGTCTGAGTTCAATGGTTAAGTGTTCATGGTCGGAGATACATTGAGTTCTATGGTGTAGAGTTTTGATGAGGGAATTATTCTGGGATGGATGGTGGTGGGAATCAGGTTTTAGGTAGGCATCAGTATGGGTTGCTTTCCTGTAGACAGAATGGCTCATTGAGCCATATGGTCTCTTTTCGATTAGGACATCCAAGAAGGGTAGCTTGCCATCCTTTTCTACCTCCATGGTGAATTTGATAGCTGGGTGTATGGAATTGATGTGGTTGAAGAATTGGTTCAGAGCTGGTCGGCCATGTGGCCAGATGGAAGAGGTACGTGGATGACACGTTTGTCATCTGGCCACATGGCTGACCAGCTCTAAACAACAATGAAAGAGCCATTCTGTCTACAGGAAAGCAACCCATACTGATGCCTACCTAGTACGGTGTAAAAGAAGTTCAACATACATACAAAGCGTTGGTGCTGCAATGGCAAAGGCTTTGTTATATATTCTTGTTCTTGGAAAAGTTAAAAAGCAATTAGATAGACGTCTTAGGTTTCTTGGATTTGACATTTAAGTTAACTAAGTATCGTGCAGATTTGCCAATAAGGATATTATGAATGAATAGGGTATAATGTAGTTTTATTCTTGCATTTAGTGATATGAGATTTAATTGTAGGTAGAGGTCTCAACGGTGAGTCCTGTATGGTACATCCAGTGCAAATAAACGATTGAATGATAAAGCGGGTGTAGTCTGTTTCGTGTTTCATTTGTAGCTGCTCTGTAAGCCGTGTCAATGTAGTCAACAGTGGTGGAATGATAGCTTAATCAATTTGCAGGCACAAACAAATGGATAAACAATGTTTGTTTCCGTATAAAACCCTAGTTTAAATTTAATTTTATTTGAGATGGGATCAATATGAGGTTGAAATGTAAGTGTTTAATCAATCAGTAAACCCAAGTGCTTAAGGCACTTCGTTTGTTCAATAATGTTGTTTCTCATATCCGTAATAGGCGAAGGGCATGAAACTGGATTTTGGTTATAAAAAAATTACATGATCTTCATTTTGTATTGATTTAGGCGCAATTTTAATGATGACAATTGATACTGATTTAAGTAGAACTCGTGTTTGAGCCTTTGTTTGACTTTTTTTGGAGATGTACCCGATGCTGGCATGAAAGTGTCATCAGCACAGAGATTTAGTTCGGAGTGATTTAAGTTTAGTCTAAGATTATTTAAATATGAGAACAGAATTGGACTGAGCACGGAACCTTGTGGAACACCCTTTGTTCTTTTTATATTTGTGGTTTAAGAGTTACCTATCAGGCCGTTCGCAAAAGACCAACTTGGTCAATAGTTGGCTGAGTCTTGTGAGTAGAATATCATTAGCAACAGTGTCAAAGGCTTTTGACAAGTAAAGGAATGGTGCACAGCAGTAGTGGCCCTTATCCAGGTTACTGAAGAGAAAATGAAATAATACATCAACCATTGCTGTGGTGGTGCAGGAATCCTCTCGAAAATAACAATTTACTGTGCAGGAAATGTTGTTTTTTAGGCAGCAGTTTATTTGTGATTTGAGTATTTTTTCGAATAATTTAGTAACTGGTGAAAGAATAGAGATTCTTATATAATTATTAGGATCTTCTTTGGAGCCATTTTTATATACTGAACAGATAGGTGAGTACTGACCTCCTGTTTTCAGCCCTCCGTCATTCTGTAGTGGAAATCCACATTCCTATGATGGGGGATGAGTCTTTCTATGAAGCAACTGCTGTTAAGTTCCCATGTAGCGGTACCCGTTTAATCACGAAGGGTTAAGTTTCCCCTTCATCTACCCAGGATGTTAACTTGCCTTTCCATTTTCAGAGCTCATGAACCTGACAAGAAAATGATCAAAAGTACGTATATTTAACACTAACAGGCAAAAGCCGCCAATTTGTAACACATCTGCCAGCGTAAATCAATAAAAAACAATACAAGGAAAGCGATAGCGACCCACTGTTCATTGAGGACGAGACCACAGGCAGCCGAGCATGGCATAATATATGCAGCTTTAAATTTCAACAAGACACAGGTTTTGCGAACAAGTGAAGCAAAACATAAAAAAATGGTCGAACGGCAGAGCAAAAAGAACCATAAAATATGTGCGTTTCTGGAAATATTTAAAACTCGCAAAAAGTAAATACACTCATTCAGGGCCTAGGGTTAAGTTACTGAGCAACTGCCCGTGGGACAAAAGTAGAATAAAATTAACCAGCGAAGTGGCGTGTAGCATGGAAATAACAAAACTGTATTCATCGACAGTGACTCTCAGGAACATCGGCAATGACTCACAATGACTCTATGGGTATAATGGCACTGGATATGGTGAGTTTTACAATTATTAAATAAACATTTGATCCATGGCTCCAACATGCCGAGGCATTTGTTGTCGCTGCAGCATTTGCAGTGAAGGCAACGATCATTACTCAGTGGCATGACACACAGAGTGCGGCGAGTGAGATACACTACCCCCGTGGCGACACCTTGATTCATGCACCTAGACAAGAAGAACAGCCACGGAAATAAAACAAAAGCAAAGGCTGACGATGTTTATCATAACCAAAGGCCATGTCGCTCGACTCTCACCATCAACCCCCCCTCGTCTGGGCCGCTGTGCTTGGGACCCCAGTGCAGTTTCTAACGGCAGCCCAGGTGCATAATGGGAATATGGATTTTGTGCAATATAGGGGTAGAGTTAAGCTGGAATAGCCAATCATTTCAGTTATAGATTACTCTACCGATTATGATTTTGATTACTCGTTGGGGAAAACACGTTCCTCTGTTGCCACGTGCGTCGTTGGATGGGACGTGATGTTTGGGGTTTTGTAGATGTCATCGGCATCATTAGCCAAGTTGCGCTGGGGGCATGGCTAATAGGGGTTTCCTGCCTTCAGGAGGCAGCATGTGGGGGCGGTCACAATATTTTTAAAAGGACCCAAGTAATCAATTACAATAGAGCAGCCGACTACAATCTTTAGTCATTCGATGCAATCTACGATTAGTTCAAAGTCTATATGTGAGGCGGATCATGGCCACGTGATGCATGCGGAGGCACTGCCGCCATGGCTACGACGCAAACATCGCACACCTTTACGTGCGCCCCAACGTCATGCAATGCTGTGCATGAGTTGGGCCCAAAAGCGGGATTTGCCATGTTTTTGGAGCATAGAAAAGCTGGCTTGACTCAAGGATCACTCACAAATTGGTGGTGACATTTTGAAAGACGTGGAACCATTAAAGCATCATTAGGCAATTGCCTGATGAACGTTGCGACAAGGGATTTCTGATCAAATAGTTATTTTTGTTTGACCTTATTATAAGTCCCCCACCCCAGGCAACCATGAATTTAATTATTAAATTGTTCTTACACCTAAATGCACTGTGTGAAAGTTGCTATTCTCAAGTTTAATTTGTCTAGTCAAGTTAAAATTGTCCAGTCGTTATGAATTCAATTACACCCTCTTTATTTCTTTCATGCAACCTCTGAATATACATTTTTCACAATGCATTCTGTCCACCGTAATTTTCCTCGTTGCTACTTAATTGCTTCATTAGTCATCCTTACTTGCCACTATGTGCCAACACATAAGGCCATGTTTGCTCATTTCAGCTTTCCATCACACAACACTAACCGGGCATGCTCACTGTAACTTCGGCATGCCGGCTGTAATTTAACCGCATGCCAAACCGAGACCTCAGAGCCGCCGTGACTTACAGCAGCTCGGAGTGCAGTGATAGATTCATCAGACCGCCAAGAATGAAGTCACATTGATTAGTGGAGTCTTTCATCTCACATAATGGCTTTCCCCCTCACTGCCCTGCTTTTGGTCACACACGGGCAATAGTGAACAAAAATGTACGAAATGAGAAAAGACCACTCAGACCATCGAGCTGCCTCCATGGCGGATTGGAAGATGGATTAACACAGCGCGCACTGACTCCCCACCACACACGGCATTCCCAGGAACCACGGGTAGCGATGAGATTCATCATAATGTACTGTGTGGTGCTGCCACTGACGTGAGCAGCAGAGACAGAATGGAAATTCGTTCCATTCTGATCAAAGAGCAGTGAGTCCAACAATGAGGGACTCACTGTTGGACAACACTGCGTGGGTGATTTGCAAGTCAAGAAATTGGGTCGCGGTGTCACGGTGATACATATGTAGTGACTTAACTCGGAGACGCTAAGAGGTGGAGGCACTTATTTTATTTAACCAAGCACCCTTTGCACAATACACACCCTACCACAAAAGAGTTTTTTTTGGGTTAGACCACGTAAATATCTAAATGTGTCATTAAACCCGCCACCACCCGACACAGCCAACTAGAAAGGGTTGTCACGTAAACAGAACGTGCCAATTCGTCAATTGTACAGCACACCGGTATGTTGGAGAGCCAAGCCACAACATTTACAATCTGAGTACGATGTTTCGCCAGTAATTACAACTAGCTTCATCAGGCGACAGCCAGATTTGTGGAGAAGTCTAACTGTTTCGTTCCTTATATAGAGGCGTATATGTGGTGAACACGCTTCTGCGCTCTTGTGCCACGTGGGCGGGGGGGATTACTAAGGCAACGTACATTATGCTAGCTCTTTGAACATGTCCTTCCACTCTGTTGTGTGTATTAAAATAGCCGTACCAGCGTATGGTGTGTACACACCCTACGCTGGTACACCCGCTTCTGTCGCTCATTTATACACAACTCTACGTGGGTTGCTCGCCTATACACAACACTAACCGTCTAACACTGACGGCGCTGAACCGAGACAGCCAACTACCGTCTAACAGCGAAATATCGAGTGAAGACGACAGCGACGATGGCAACGATCTTCAACAGCACGACGGAGATCCCACTCGAAACGACAGCCCCGAGCTCTCGCTCAGGGCCCCCTTTATGCTCCCAGGGGCGTGGCCTCGCTCCACTCCGGCCACGCCCCTTCTCTAGAACCTACCAGCGGGTTTCCGGGGCTTCCCCCTGTCCCCCTTCTGTAACCTTTCCTCCAAATATCCCCTCTGGTGTATCCCCTGGCCTGCTGACGTCAGGGCTGCTGTAAGCCGCAGATCTCCTTCCCTGCCAGCAGCCAGCGCTATGCTGCTACATTACTTATTCTATGTCACTACACATAGAGTAGCTGAAGCGCAGGTGTGAGGCTGGCTCTTGTCTGATGTCATCAATGCCTATCAAGGCAACTCAGAGCCAAACACAGCAATGGATAGTAATCAATGGTAACGGACAGGGTGTTGATGATAAGAGTGGTGAGGGGATAGGTTAGTGAGGGATTCAGTTGTGGGGGGTAGAGCGGTAACGAGTATGGCAGTGATTAGTAGGCGGTCAGGAGGTGAGCGGGCTGACAAGCAGGGTGGTGAGGGATATTGAGATGAAGGTTATGGTGGTGAGGAGTAGAGTTCTGAGGGGTTGGGTGGTGAGTATAGTAGTGAGAAGTTGGGTAGTGAAGAATAAGTGCTATGAGGTGGGGTCACGATGGATGGTGTGGTGAGGAGTATACAGTAGTGACTAATAGGGTGGTGAGGAGTCGTGATTGGACGTGTGGTGAGAAGCAGGGCATTAAGATGTTATAGCAATGCTGGGGCATGGTGGTGAGGAGACGTCTGGTGGGGGTCGAGGCATTTGGTTAGGGTCGAGGAGGTGGGGAGGAGGTGACGATGCCGCCTTACCTTTGTCGCTTGTGCTGGGGGTGCTGTTCTCCGTGTGGCAGGGGCACGAGGTGGCACACTTCACCGCCATCTGCTTTCTGGTCACACACGCCTGGTACTCCAGCTTGCACTGAAACAACAGCGGGCAAACAAACACCACGCAGCGGTTACGGTTTACTTTACTACCCTCCCACCTTCCTAACGTGCATCCTCTAATTAGAAGAAGAGTAAGGATGAAGATTTGCATTTATTGAGAGCTTAAAATGCCACGGCATCTCGGAACGCTTATGCAACTCAAAAAAATATTTAAATGGCCATTACTGTGGAGTGACACAATTTTTAAATGGCAAAGAAATACTCCAAAGGTAATTTTAGGTGTTCCAGGATAGCATTCTCGTGATTTCACTTTAATATCAGACTGAAAAATTGTATTGCGAATGCTGATGTTAGCAGGGCACTGACGGAGCCCCTGACTGATTTTAAGAGTTTCAAATTTTAGTCTATGAAGCTTCAAACTCACGTCGGACAGCTGTAGATATTTATTATACGTGGCCTTTACAGTAATGTGATATGCTTATGGTATTTCTAAGATATAACATATTCAAATTGAGGTAGCGATGGTGCAGTAGTTTTAGCACACTGTGCTATGAACTAGGCCACCTGCGATTAATTCCTTGTCAGAGATAACAGCAGTGGTATCTGAACCGGTTCTGGGACACAAACCCCTTTCGTGAACTGGTGCCGGCCAGCATGGTGAGGTATGGTCCAACAGCGCCTCATAATAATAGACATTTGCAAGGCGCATTTCATCCACAGATCCCAATATGCCATGTATGGAAAGCAGTAAATAATCAGAACCAGGCTAAACCGACAGAACTTGGGGCTGAAGGCCAGTTTAAAGAAGTAAGTTTTCAAGAAAAACTGAAATAGCCGTAACGACTCTGATTGTCTTATTACGAAAGGCAAAGTGTTGTTCCACAGTCTGGGAGCTGCACTGGCAAAAGCCCCATCACACCAGGAACAGAGCCTTAACCTCGGAGTCCTTAGCAGAGGGTGGTCGCAAGATCTCGGGGACCTCGTTGGAGTGTAAACATGGATCAGTTCCTGCAAATATTGGTGTGCTAACCCATCGAGAGCCTTGTATTATCAGCAGCAGCAGGGTCTTATAGTCTGCGCATGCACAGATAAGATAGCAGGTGTGATGTTCCTTAAAACGGTGTGCATAAGCACTCTAACAGCAGCATTCTGAACAAAATCCCGAAAAGTACTGTGTTGTGGTCATCAAGACGGGAGAACACGAAAGCATGGACCGGTCTCTCCGAGTCATTAGTTGACAGGAATCAAATAATGCATCGAAACTCTGTCAAGGTCAAATGTGACAACGTGGAGCCAACTGCGCCCCTCCTCCCCCGCTGCACCCCAAATTCCATGACATGCTCGTGAGCGTTACTGCCAGTGCAAAGCAGAGTAGCGAGGGTGGCTTGGGAGTGAGGCGGCAATGTCTGCCTCCGTTCTTGTCACCGCATGTGGCCTAAGCTGGTACCTGCTGCTGATAAATGTTCCCCAGGCTCACACCCAGATCTCGGCAGATTACAGTTTGGTCAGAACAGAGGTCAGTGGGACCGACTGGAAGGTTTGTGTCATGCGAGCCGTCCCATGAAGAGAAATATCGACTTCCTCGAGCCCCCCAGAGCCATACAACCATTTCCTATGACTAATTTAAAAACTCTCTACGAGATCAGTGATTTTCCTGCGTGGAATATGTTTGGTCTAACGCGAATACTGGTCATGTTCCTGGGTGTGCACTTAAACTAATTGGAGCTGTTAAATTGGCACCGCTGTAAGGTGGCAATCAGCATAACTACAAAGTTTCCACCTGAGGTCTCCTCTACTTTTTCTAGCCAAGTGTTCAGAGTTATATTTGTGTTAAATAAAAAGCAATACATTGTAACTTTTGAAAAAATGATTTTACCCCGAAAATCACTAATTTTGTTGATTAACCTGGGGGAGGCTTTTCATCAGATTAAAAACGCTAGATCAAAGCAATTATATATAATTAGATTTTTCCAACAATAGCGATGATGCTTGAAATCTTGTAATATGTATCTCCTCCCACTTCCCAAGATGTAGGTATGTGGAACTCCTTTCACACTGTACGTAGCCACAGAGCAGTGTGGAAACATCTCCATCACGAGTAGAAGAAGCAGATCAGGAAACTGAATAAAGCTGAGCAAAAAATATATTTAAAACCCCTGTCATGATTCCCCAAGCTTTGACATGGGATGGATTAAAAACAAGGCTTCTTGCTTGAAGCTAAACTCCGAAGCTGCAGGCGCGGTTCGTCTGTGAGGGCCGTTGGGGCGCTGCCCCACCAAGCACCTGGAGATGAGAAATTATTTTTGGAATAAAAATACTTTTCTATAAATTGTTTTGTTGTTTAAAAAAAATTAACAAACGTGAATTAACAAAAGAAGATAACATTTTAAGTTGTTCATATTAGAAACCGCTGCAACACAGTCGGATTTGTGCCTCGGGGAGGTCTCTAGTTGGACTGTGAAGGCGTCTGAGAGAGATTTCCCTTCTTCATTCGTTGCGATTCGCTTTACATCTTAGCCATGCCGTTTGAGACCCATTCAAGGCGGTGAAAAAGGCACCTATGACTGTAACGACTATGTCACAACGCTAGAATATGGGACCTGTCTTACCAGTATCAAATTAAAAGAATAGAGTTGACCCTTTCTGGCAAAATAATACAGGTTCTTTTGCTATGGTTGTCCCACCTGATGACGGAAGCTTGTGTTGCCTTCGAAACGTCGTGATTGAGTTATTTTTTTATTTTATTTTCACCTACTTGACTTTACCGAAACAACCAAGGAGTATGAATCCTTGCAGTCACGAAAACCTCAAATCTAGAAGAATAATACAGGTGTTAAGATGTTAGACCAGAGCAGACGAGAAAGCCTTTTGGCTTCGTCTGGTCTAACACTTTGAGACTAGGCTCTAAAAAAAGCTGTCTCTGGTGTGGACCAATCAGTTTTAAAGACAATGCAGAGATTATCGGAGTATGTTTTGTTTGCATGTTAACCACAAGTACGTGTAGTTAATGCAGACATAATTCCTTGCAAAAGGTTTTTGTTTGGTGTCTTAACATCCTTAACACCTGTTTTATTGCCAGAAAGGGTAAAACCTATTATTATATCACAACGCTAGGTTGCACTGTGCAAATACAGTGAGGGAAAAAAAGTATTTGATCCCCTGCTGATTTTGTACGTTTGCCCACTGACAAAGAAATGATCAGTCTATAATCTTAATGGCAGGTTTATTTGAACAGTGAGAGACAGAATAACAACAAAAAAATCCAGAAAAACGCATGTCAAAAATGTTATAAATTGATTTCCATTTTAATGAGGGAAATAAGTATTTGACCCCCTCTCAATCAGAAACATTTCTGGCTCCCAGGTGTCTTTTATACAGGTAACGTGCTGAGATTAGGAGCACACTTTTAAAGAAAGTGCTCCTAATCTCAGTTTCTTACCTGTATAAAAGACACCTGTTCTCAGAAGCAATCAATCAGATTTCAAACTCTCCATCATGGCCAAGACCAAAGAGCTCTCCAAGGATGTCAGGGACAAGATTGTAGACCTACACAAGGCTGGAATGGGCTACAAGACCATCGCCAAGCAGCTTGATGAGAAGGTGACAACAGTTGGTGCGATTATTCGCAAATGGAAGAAACACAAAAGAACTGTCAATCTCCCTCGGCCTGGGGCTCCATGCAAGATCTCACCTCGTGGAGTTGCAATGATCATGAGAACGGTGAGGAATCAGCCCAGAACTACACAGGACGATCTTTTCAATGATCTCAAGGCAGCTGGGACCATAGTCACCAATAAAACAGTTGGTAACACACTACGCCGTGAAGGACTGAGATCCTGCAGTGCCCGCAAGGTCCCCCTGCTCAAGAAAGCACATATATATGCCCGTCTGAAGTTTGCCAATGAACATCTGAATGATTCAGAGGACAACTGGGTGAAAGTGTTGTGGTCAAATGAGACCAAAATGGAGCTCTTTGGCATCAACTCAACTCGCCGTGTTTGGAGGAGGAGGAATGCTGCCTATGATCCCAGGAACACCATCCCCACAGTCAAACATGGAGGTGGAAACATTATGCTTTGGGGGTGTTTTTCTGCTAAGGGGACAGGACAACTTCACCGCATCAAAGGGACGATGGACGGGGCCATGTACCGTCAAATCTTGGGTGAGAACCTCCTTTCCTCAGCCAGGGCATTGAAAATGGGTCGTGGATGGGTATTCCAGCATGACAATGACCCAAAACACATGGCCAAGGCAACAAAGGAGTGGCTCAAGAAGAAGAACATTAAGGTCCTGGAGTGGCCTAGCCAGTCTCCAGATCTTAATCCCATAGAAAATCTGTGGAGGGAGCTGAAGGTTCGAGTTACCAAACGTCAGCCTCTAAACCTTAATTACTTGGAGAAGATCTGCAAAGAGGAGTGAGACAAAATGCCTCCTGAGATGTGTTCAAACCTAGTGGCCAACTACAAGACACGTCTGACCTCTGTGATTGCCAACAAGGGTTTTGCCACCAAGTACTAAGTCATGTTTTGCAGAGGGGTCAAATACTTATTTCCCTCATTAAAATGCAAATCAATTTATAACATTTTTGACATGCGTTTTTCTGGATTTGTTGTTGTTATTCTGTCTCTCACTGTTCAAATAAACCTACCATTAAAATTATAGACTGATTATTTCTTTGTCAGTGGGCAAACGTACAAAATCAGCAGGGGATCAAATACTTTTTTCCCTCACTGTATAGCAGGTCACGGCCTACATGCTCTCGGCTTTTGGCAGTGTCAAAGGGGTTGTGTCGTGTGGACTTGAGCGTCATGCAGACAACATTTGAGTGCTTTGTTGTTTTGTTTCGTATTGTTTATAAATGCCGACCGTTGGTAGATAAGACAGTTATATCACTTTCACGGGAAGGCCAATCACGTGATTAAGTTTTTATTCATTAGAACCCCATATTTTCCAAGGTCACTCACAACAGCCCCACCTAGCAGATATGTCGCGAGCTACCAACTGCGAAGCCGTGCATCCAGCCCATCCCATGTG